TAGCTCTTGTGTCTGGCTTCTAGGATGTACTTGTATGCTATCTCATACATCTCTGGTTATTACGTGTGCAATACGCAGGCTTGAAGATAAAGGAAGGGCAAGTTGGTCATTGAGTCTCCTCTGTTTGTTACGTGTGCAATACGCAGGCTTGAAGATAAAATAAGGGCAAGTTGGTCATTGAGTCTCCTCTGTTTGTTACGTGTGCAATACGCAGGCTTGAAGATAAAGGAAGGGCAAGTTGGTCATTGAGTTTCCTCTGGTTGTTACGTGTGCAATATGCAGGATTGAAGACAAAGGAAGGGAAAGTTGATCATTGAGTCTCCTCTGGTTGTTACGTGTGCAATACGCAGGCTTGAAGATAAAGGAAGGGCAAGTTGATCATTGAGTCTCCTCTGGTTGTTACGTATGCAATACGCAGGCTTGAAGATAAAGGAAGGGCAAGTTGGTCATTGAGTCTCCTCTGTTTGTTACGTGTTCAATACGCAGGCTTGAAGATAAAGGAAGGGCAAGTTGATCATTGAGTCTCCTCTGGTTGTTACGTGTGCAATACGCAGGCTTGAAGATAAAGGAAGGGCAAGTTGATCATTGAGTCTCCTCTGGTTGTTACGTGTGCAATACGCAGGCTTGAAGATAAAGGAAGGGCAAGTTGGTCATTGAGTCTCCTCTGGTTGTTACGTGTGCAATACGCAGGCTTGAAGATAAAGGAAGGGCAAGTTGATCATTAAGTCTCCTCTGGTTGTTACGTGTGCAATACGCAGGCTTGAAGATAAAGGAAGGCCAAGTTGATCATTGAGTCTCCTCTGGTTATTACGTGTGCAATACGCAGGCTTGAAGATAAAGGAAGGGCAAGTTGATCATTGAGTCTCCTCTGGTTGTTACGTGTGCAATACGCAGGCTTGAAGATAAAGGAAGGGCAAGTTGATCATTGAGTCTCGATGTCAATATGCTTGGGTGTATGGCTACGAAATGACAGTTTCGTGTACCTCTCCCTTTATTGGATAAGGATGTGCATATTCCATGTAAAGAATTGTGTGGATTATACACTGACATTTCTGAATTGTAAATAAAATACTTGTGATCACCATGTTCTGGTGTGTGTTAAAATGGAGATTAAACAATGCCAAGGTATAACGTGAATGGGCATGCGGTAGTCTTTCAAAAGAGTCTTCTAATAGATGATATATACTCGAAGAAGGAAGTCGTTTGTATGTGCGTCGTTACCATGTTGTAAAGTAAGCTGTACATGTTAGTAAAGCAACGATTGGTTTGACAGAAGCGAATATAGCGATTTCATGAAAACATTAGTGTTGGATTTTTTTAAAAACATTATTTGATATGGCATCTTTTACCTAATGATATACAGGTATGTGACATGTCAACTTTTACCAAATGATATACAGTTATGTGACATGTCATCTTTTACCTAATGAGATACAGTTATGTGACATGTCATCTTTTACCAAATGAGATACAGTTATGTGACATGTCGTCTTTTACCTAATGAGATACAGTTATGTGACATGTCATCTTTTACCTAATGAGATGCAGTTATGTGACATGTCATCTTTTACCTAATGAGATGCAGTTATGTGACATGTCGTCTTTTACCTAATGAGATACAGTTATGTGACATGTCGTCTTTTACCTATTGAGATGCAGTTATGTGACATGTCATCTTTTACCTAATGAGATACAGTTATGTGACATGTCGTCTTTTACCTAATGAGATACAGTTATGTGACATGTCGTCTTTTACCTAATGAGATACAGTTATGTGACATGTCGTCTTTTACCTAATGAGATGCAGTTATGTGACATCTTTTAGCGAATAAGATACAATGATGTGACATGGCTTAATTTATTGAAAGGGATACAGTGATGCAGGTATCTATGAAACTAATGAAACCATATAAAACAATATTTATTTTGAAATGTCTCATTTTGGCTGACGTAAAAACAATAAATGCACATAAAAACTGAGTTGAAAATGAATGAACTAAATGTTCTTCCAAATAAATGACCAGAACCAGAAGTTTAGAGAAAGATATGATAATAAACAACAGACTATTCTCGTCTGTATGTATTATATACGTTCATGTTAGTTTGAGTAAGCTATTTGCAGCATTTTGGACTGGAAACGAACCCTAAATTATAACCAGGTAGCACTGTCTATATCCCCTTGTAGCCACACCAGCTGCTCATAGGACTTACAAATAACATATTGTCAATATTGATCGCACATTTGCCGTGAGCTTGACACTAGGCTACCCAAAAGACACTCGCAAACTTAAGGTCCAAACCACAACTATGATATTAAATACATCCCTGTTGGTGTAATTGTTAGCAACCATGTGTAGTTCATTTTCCATGCATGCCTATTCCTGTTATACACATATCAAGATGGGCCTTGGGTTTAACACAGACCTAAGGGACTGACCATTTCTAATTGATGTGGGGAGGGGGGATGTCTGGAATTTTTTATTATGTTTTTAATATAAAACTATGCGCCAAAAGATTTTATTTCTAAAAAACACATTAATGACGTTTACCGTTCCACACGAAGCTGCGAAGCCTTTTGTGGTTATTCAAACCGAAACGTGAAATAAGTAACCACTAAATTATATGTAAACACAAACTGATACGTTTACAAAAAATAAAGGTAATACAATATATGGGTCATATCAGTGGCAGCGGCACTAAGTAACAGGCCCTAGAAGTAATGCTAGTGCTCTTACGGATGTTCAGACTATTGTCAGAGGTCAGTATTGGTTTGTGCACAGACTTGTATAACCGGTTATATAGTTCCGTGGTTTGTGTAAAGAGAGTTGTTCTTGCGAGGGTGTTTTAGTTGGTTGGTTGGTTTGTTGTTTAACGCCGCACTCAGCAATATTCCAGCTATATGACGGCGGTCTGTAAATAATCGAGTCTTGACCAGACAATCCAGTGATTGACATCACGAGCATCGATCCACGCATTTGGGATCGATGACATGCATCAACCAAGTCAGCGAGCCTGACCACCCGATCCCGTTCGTCGCCTTTTACGACAAGCATGGGTTGCTATTCCACCCCGGAATCTTCACGGGTCGAGGGTGTTTTAGAGCGGTACATATCCTGTTTTAGGAATAATCATTGTGTTTAGGGGGTGTTTATTCCCAATGATAACTTCTTTATTAATATAATGTCATCTTTAAATGTTATCGTTAACATCTGTGGTCATCTCTCACAACCGGTACCTAAACATTGAAAATTGTCCTGGAATGTGCGTAATAATATATTACGCCACAAGTTCAGTGATTAGTCAGGCAGATTGGACAAGAGGCAATATAGTTCCAACTGAAACGTTTTAGACACTGATTGTCGATATACTTAGACTATTGATTGTGATAACAAACACATGTTGTGACGTAACAATATCCTTCCGAGAGCGTTTGTATGGTTTTACTTTTTTGCACCTGAATTCGTCTGCTCGGCGGTCATGGGATGGGCGGTGGTATCTTAGGTACAAGATGTCGGTGAAGTTGTTAATAATCAGACTCATCGATCTGAACCAAGATTGACGTCTAAATTGAGCTATGAACTAAAATCACAGTAATTTGTCCAGATCCCGATGTCTCTATGATACTATCAAGCACTAGAGTTCCGGCCTCGTTGATTATTTACAGGCAGCCTCGACATAGCTCAATACTGCTGAACGCTTCATAAATTAAACAGAAGAAAGTATTGATTTAACTTGTGGAAAATGTCACAGGAATTGGACTTCGAAGAAGCAAATAATGAATTACCTGTGTTGACGTTCGTTTCAGGTAAAATAAATAAGTAAACAAAATAACACTGACCTCAATTACATCACTATGACCTACTACTACGTTAACATCGTGACGTTATGTCACATGTGGTTATGCTAGGCTGTTACAGCACTCAATACTAAACAAAGAAAACCAACGCCATCGAACACCAGCTGTGCATGCAGATCCGTTGTCAAAGGACATAAAAAAATGTTTGTTGTTGAACGCCGCAGTCAACAATGTTCATCCGACATCACTGTGGCCTGTACATAATCGAATCAAGAATAAACCAAACAATAGTTGATATTCTGAGTAATGTCACGTCGCCGGGGAACAATGGCACGCAAATAATCGCCGAGCCAGAAATCCCGTCCCAATTTAGTCGCCTCCTACAAGAATAGGTTGCCTGGGACAAACCCTAACTAGGGTACCAACGGGACAACAGCGATATGGCCTAATCTACCCTTGACTGTAACCGTCAGTCACAGTAAATGTGCACTCGCATCTGGAGCTTATTTACAGGGTTTCTGAATGGTCATTGACGTTCGTTGCATACGTCTACCAAACACTACAGCATTTCTTTCACTCATGTCCTCCATGCCCTGTCAGATTGAAAGTTATGTTCGACATATTTCTATAATCCTATTCGAATCTATTCTGTCTGCAATTTAAAAACAAGGTAGGTAAACGTTTAAAGGTTACCCTATCAGTTAAAATGTCCTCGTTATACCGCCGTTTTAGGTCACATTCCTTCGTATGGGGAAATCGTTAGTGGTCAATAATGTTCAAATGTTCTGTATAAATACCGAGAACTAACACTGAAATCTAATGAATTGAACAAATTATGATGTCATCAAAAGAAGAAACATACATGCCAAAGTTTGACTCCCTCAAGCTGGCATTTTCAGAGGAGAAGGCGTTTACAGAGGCAAAATATGCATTTAAAGAGAATTTAAAAGGATAGTCTAATCAAAAACTTTTAAATAATGCAAATAAAAGCCAGAACTTGTATAAGTGCTCCTGCAGCACCAGCCTCATACGATTCATAAGTTGTTTGATCAGGGTTACAACACTCAAGGCAATTGAAAGTCAATTGTTCACCTGACAAAACACGGGAATTATGGTACAAGTCATATATTTTTCCAGCTTCGAACCAGTGTGTCCGTTAATAGTTAACGACACCGGCACCCTATACAGACATGAAAATATCAAACACAGATAAAAAATTTTTATCAGTATAAAGTTTCAATGTACAACAAAGTATAGTAAAATCTATGCATATACATTAACTATGATACACATGATAATAATTTTAACACATTATCACAATATTGACACAGACCAAATTGTTTAAGATACTTTAGGAGCAGATGCCCGCTTACATGGTAATTGTTTTTTCAGATTTTCTGCTTTTACATAAGAATCCCCTGCGACTGTGAAGTGCACACAATCAAGCAAAATATACTGCAATAGTACAATTTGTACAAAAACATATTTCTATGGGATGAATTCTGAAAAACATGCATCCATGTAATTTTCGTATCGCCACTGTCACGCTAATCACATTCACCTTACTTAGAACACTTAGACACACTCTTAGAATCCGCAATTAATCCAAAGTGTCAAAGTGAATAAATTATGCATCGACAACATCTGGCCTGACTTCGCGTTCAGTATTAAGTGACAAAACTAAGCGATCCCAAAAGAATCTTCTGGCATCCTCTTCGTCCCCCCAGGGGATGAAGGGATGCATCCTGACCAGGGCGTACACAGACTGAGTCATGTTGGCGACCTGCACCTCCTCCAGCAGGACCAGGATGATAGGATTCCTTTCCCCTTCCAGCTGTCTCTGGACAAACATCAGCTCGAACTGACACTGCTCATCTCTGGCCATGGCATTCGACAGAAGAATCAGGATGCTTTTACTAACATTCATATTGTTAACAACGTTATCGACGATAGGGATACCAGCCAAAGAGTCTCTGTCACGAATGTACAATCTGGAACCATGTGTTCCCTCTACTGTGGGAATGAGTTCGTTCTTGATCCATCTGATGTCCTCCAAACTATATATTACATAAGCATCGTATGTATTCTCTATGTTTTCAAGTCGTTGAAATTCCCCTCTCTGGTATCTTCTTCTGTACATGTAAAAACGAATGTGCCATCGATATCTATACGTAATAGACCCTGAGATGAGGACAAGGAAGACAATCCCACAGACTCCAAGCAGGGCAAAGATAGCAGGGAAAGGGAGAAGGCAAGGCTGTTCAGACAGATCTACTTTGGAGAGTATTCTTCCTCTCATTTCCCCAGGACTGGAACACACATACTTCTCCGGATAGTCTTTGAATTTGTGAGGTTCGGACTTTGTCCACTTGAGGAACCAGAGGAGTTCACAGTTACATGCAAATGGGTTGTGCATTAAATCAACCACTTGAAGCCTTTGTTGGACTTCGGAGGTAAACACTCGCTCGTCTATTTTGGCTAATCGGTTACTTGCCAGCCAAATATGGGTAAGATTCTTTAAAGGTGTCAGCGCACCTATGGGTAACTCATCAATGCCATTTCCATACAGTTTGAAGTATTGCAAGTTTTCTAAGTAAACTGAAACAAACGTTGGAAACGATTTGATTCCACAGCTTCCAAGGCCAATTCCTGTTAAAGATTTTAAGTGTCCAAACCAATCAATTAGGTCCTGGTTGGATGTGTTTGAAAATTTATTAAAGGAAACATCAACTGACTGTAGATTGGAGCATCCTTTGAATGCATCTTTGTGTACTTGTCTCTTGAAGTTTATACCACACGATGTTAAAGAAATGTATTCTATTTTGCTGTTATTGAAAGCATATTGGTCAATATAAAGGTTGCCTCCTCCGAGATTTCTTAGGATTATGTCAGTCAGTGCTGGCATTTCAGAGAATGAATTTGGCTTTATTTCCTGAATGTGGTTGTTGTTGACAGAAAAGACAGCCAAATTCTTTAAGCATTGAATGTAACGGCCCTCAAGTGGTTTGTATATATAGTTGTGGTCCAACTTCAGTGTTCCAAGGCCTGGGAAAAAGGACCCATTTGTCGTACAAAAATTAGGAAACGTTGAAATAACGTTATCCCTCAGATTCAACGCCAGTAACGATGGGGTGTACGCCAGATTTACTTCACGGATGGAATTGTGCGCCAAAGATAAATTCTGGATGTTGAAGAGGCCACTAAAATCGGTTTGTTTAAAACTTTTTAAGTCGTTTCTGTCTAGGTCTATGGACTTCATTGTATGACTATGTAACTGATGAAAGATGTGTGAATCATTCAACTTTAGTCGCACAAGCGATAACTTTACAAGAGGAAGATGGCTCAAAGTCGGGAATGTTCCAGCTAAAGACATTCCTGAGAAACTGTTGTCATCAAGATTCAACTCTGTTAAAGTACTTAGATGAATAAATGAGTCAGCTGACATGCTCCTTATCCTGTTTGATCTCAGAGTTAACCTTTTCAACTGAAGTGATTTAATATTCTTGAAAGTTTTTGAGGAAATGTTTGGAAGAAAATTGCCTGAGAAATCCACGTCAGTTATGAATTCTGGTAGCCTTGGAATATATGTCAGTTTCGTTCCGTGACCATTGCATGTTGCTTGTTTGGTGTGATTGTTACAGCTACACCAGCTGTCGCCACAGCTCCCGTGGTGTGCTGCTGATGTCAGCGTCACTAGCAGCAGGATGAGGAGAAATTGGCAGAAGGCTGTCATTTCAAGATGGCCACTGAAACATAGAAAAAGAAATTGTCGAGTAAGAAGTTTCATGAATTGCGTTTGAGATGATGTTTGGGAAATGGAATGAACAGTATTTCTGTTATATCGCGTGTTGGATTATTGTGGTAGGAAAGCCCGAAGTTATACAGGTAGTAGACGTTTAACAATTTGGTGAAACCCACGAGCACGGGTATGGTTCAGACAATCCCAGAAACATACTCGTGGTCAACCCGTGATCGACCCCACGATCATCCGGTTTCTGTCACGCAGTGATGCAAGTATGCACAGCTAATTACGGTGCTTTAGAAGTCTGGGTGGCCCAAGCGATGTATTACTGGGAAGACGACCAATGAGCTTCGAGGTAGTACTGATAAGGTGTCCCGAGTGAATGAATGGTGGAAGTCCCGACGTTTTGGCAGTAGACGGAGGAATATTTTTCTGTAATTATTGGTCTGAGTTTCGAGTTGGTTGCCTATAAATTAGAACGATAAAGAACAAACATTACATCATTGCACTGTATTATTCTGCTGACGTACCATTTAGCTGGAATGCTTCGGCGTTAAACAAATATCAACAACTATCAATGATTGTTTCTTCAGTCTCAGTGGTATGTGACTGGCCCATAGTAGACAACAGTGAGCAGTGACAAGTGGTTATAAAATAGTAATTTACATTACTATGTTACGGATCTATTGATTGTTTGTTTGTTTGTTTGTTTGTTTGCACCCAGCAATCTTCCAGCTATATGACGGTGGTCTGTAATTATTGACATCATGAGCATCGATCCACGCAATTGGGATCCATGACATGCATTAACAAAGTCAGCGAGCCTGACCACCCGTACCCGTTAGTCGCCCTTTACGGCATCATGGGTTGATGATGACCTATTCTACCCCAGATCTTCACGGGTCGATCTATTGATTGCTAAGGGTCACCACTTTGAAAGGTAATACGTCAAAGTGTGTGCATCTGTTGAAATAATCAAAGACAATATTGCGTAAAAAATACCGAAAACTAATTCAGTAACGCGTATGTGATCCGAGTGGCACGATCACAGACTGGCACCGTCACCTCCCAATAATTGTCTGGGTGGTTGCCAGGGGAGATTGCCTCAAAGTCGGTCCAAGAAAAGTCGGGCCGGGCCGGGCCAGCGGGTAATACTAAAAATGGATTGCAGACTAATAAAACGAAACGTGCATATCTAGACAGATCTCAAATGTCCAGAAACGGATAGTTTTGCTCATTTAATTGAGTTTGAATCAAAATGTATCTTCAGCAATGTAATAAACTGATAATTATAGCTACATACCGAGAGTTCATACCGAAAAGTCAGTGTCTTGACTGTGTCTTTACTTTGATGAGAAGGTTTCTCACCGACCTTAGCGTGCAGGGGTGTGATGTCCTGGGCAGGAATTCGAAATGACAGTGTTTTGACTACTCTTCTTTCATTAATTAACGTGTTTGGCATACCTAATTAACCTTTACTAATTCATGTTAAACCAACACAGGATGTTTTCTGCAAGTGGATATTCGCGAATGTCATAGGACTGACACGACACGTGTTAATAACTGTCAAAGCGCTTCTAAAATTACAACACATACTTTACATCTATAGACTAATTATAATATCATATCTACCTATATAACACTTTAGTGTCTCATATTGCAGTAGCAAACACGGTGCTCAAAAGTGAAGCCCTTTTCCCTCTACATTCTCCCTATCAGAAGTGTTTGGCTTGTGTTGGGTCCGACTTGGCCCGGGCGGTCAAAATCAACTTTAAACACACAGATGTATCTTCAAATGTGTTTACATCTATAGATTAGTGTTATATCTACCTATATACTACTTTATAATGTCACGGTACATCTTATTTAAACAAAACAAGGGGCTCAAAGTGAAGCATTTTTACTGTATTTTCTTAAGAAAATCTGTCAGAAGTGTTGGGTCCGACTTGGCCCGGGCGGTCAAAATCATCTTAAACCTCACAGATGTATCATAAATGGATTCACATCTATAGATTAGTATTATATCCACCTATATACCACTTTATAGTGTCTCAGATCGCTGTAATTAAAGAAAACAAGGTGCTCAAAGTGAAGCCCTTTTCCCTTTACATTCTCAACATAGTCTCTATCAGCAGTGTTTGGCTTGTGTTGGGTCCGACTTGGCCCGGGCGGTCAAAATCAACTTTAAACACACAGATGTATCTTCAAATGTGTTTACATCTATAGATTAGTGTCATATCTACCTATATGCCACTTTAGAATGTCACGGTACATCGTATTTAAAGAAAACAAGGTGCTCAAAGTAAAGCCCTTTTCCCTCTACATTCTCAACATAGTCTCTATCAGAAGTGTTTGGCTTGTGTTGGGTCCGACTTGGCCCGGGCGGTCAAAATCAACTTTAAACACACAGATGTATCTTCAAATGTGTTTACATCTATAGATTAGTGTTATATCTACCTATATACCACTTTATAATGTCACGGTACATCGTATTTAAAGAAAACAAGGGGCTCAAAGTGAAGCCCTTTTCCCTTTACATTCTCAAGTGTTTTGCTTGTGTTGGGTCCGACTTGGCCCGGGCGGTCAAAATCAACTTTAAACACACATACATATCTTCAAATGTGTTTAAACACACAGATGTGTCTTCAAATGTGTTTAAACACACAGATGTATCTTCAAATGTGTTTAAACACACAGATGTATCTTCAAATGTGTTTACCTCTATAGATTAGTGTTATATCTACCTATATACTACTTTATAATGTCACGGTACATCGTATTTAAACAAAACAAGGTGCTCAAAGTCAAGCATTTCTACTGTATTTTCTTAAGAAAATCTATGTCAGAAGTGTTGGGTCGGACTTGGCCCGGGCTGTCAAAATCAACTTAAACCTCACAGATGTATCATCAAATGGATTCACATCTATAGATTAGTATTATATCCACCTAAATACCGCTTTATAGTGTCTCAGATCGCTGTAATTAAAGAAAACAAGGTGCTCGAAGTGAAGCTCTTTTCCCTTTACATTCTCAACATAGTCTCTATCAGAAGTGTTTGGTTTGTGTTGGGTCCGACTTGGCCCGGGCGGTCAAAATCAACTTTAAACACACATATGTATCTTCAAATGTGTTTACATCTATAGATTAGTGTTATATCTACCTATATGCCACTTTAGAATGTCACGGTACATCGTATTTAAAGAAAACAAGGTGCTCAAAGTAAAGCCCTTTTCCCTCTACATTCTCAACATAGTCTCTATCAGAAGTGTTTGTCTTGTGTTGGGTCCGACTTGGCCCGGGCTGTCAAAATCAACTTTAAACACACAGATGTATCTTCAAATGTGTTTACATCTATAGATTAGTGTTATATCTACCTATATACCACTTTATAATGTCACGGTACATCGTATTTAAAGAAAACAAGGGGCTCAAAGTGAAGCCCTTTTCCCTTTACATTCTCAAGTGTTTTGCTTGTGTTGGGTCCGACTTGGCCCGGGCGGTCAAAATCAACTTTAAACACACATACATATCTTCAAATGTGTTTAAACACACAGATGTATCTTCAAATGTGTTTAAACACACAGATGTATCTTCAAATGTGTTTAAACACACAGATGTATCTTCAAATGTGTTTACCTCTATAGATTAGTGTTATATCTACCTATATACTACTTTATAATGTCACGGTACATCGTATTTAAACAAAACAAGGTGCTCAAAGTCAAGCATTTCTACTGTATTTTCTTAAGAAAATCTATGTCAGAAGTGTTGGGTCGGACTTGGCCCGGGCTGTCAAAATCAACTTAAACCTCACAGATGTATCATCAAATGGATTCACATCTATAGATTAGTATTATATCCACCTAAATACCACTTTTAAGTGTCTCAGATCGCTGTAATTAAAGAAAACAAGGTGGTCGAAGTGAAGCTCTTTTCCCTTTACATTCTCAACATAGTCTCTATCAGAAGTGTTTGTCTTGTGTTGGGTCCGACTTGGCCCGGGCGGTCAAAATCAACTTTAAACACACAGATGTATCTTCAAATGTGTTTACATCTATAGATTAGTGTTATATCTACCTATATGCCACTTTAGAATGTCACGGTACATCGTATTTAAAGAAAACAAGGTGCTCAAAGTAAAGCCCTTTTCCCTCTACATTCTCAACATAGTCTCTATCAGAAGTGTTTGTCTTGTGTTGGGTCCGACTTGGCCCGGGCGGTCAAAATCAACTTTAAACACAGAGATGTATCTTCAAATGTGTTTACATCTTTAGATTAGTGTTATATCTACCTATATACCACTTTATAATGTCACGGTACATCGTATTTAAAGAAAACAAGGGGCTCAAAGTGAAACCCTTTTCCCTTTACATTCTCAAGTGTTTTGCTTGTGTTGGGTCCGACTTGGCCCGGGCGGTCAAAATCAATTTTAAACACACATACGTATCTTCAAATGTGTTTAAACACACAGATGTATCTTCAAATGTGTTTAAACACACAGATGTATCTTCAAATGTGTTTAAACACACAGATGTATCTTCAAATGTGTTTACCTCTATAGATTAGTGTTATATCTACCTATATACTACTTTATAATGTCACGGTACATCGTATTTAAACAAAACAAGGTGCTCAAAGTCAAGCATTTCTACTGTATTTTCTTAAGAAAATCTATGTCAGAAGTGTTGGGTCGGACTTGGCCCGGGCTGTCAAAATCAACTTAAACCTCACAGATGTATCATCAAATGGATTCACATCTATAGATTAGTATTATATCCACCTAAATACAACTTTATAGTGTCTCAGATCGCTGTAATTAAAGAAAACAAGGTGCTCGAAGTGAAGCTCTTTTCCCTTTACATTTTAACAAAGTCTCTATCAGAAGTGTTTGTCTTGTGTTGGGTCCGACTTGGCCCGGGCGGTCAAAATCAACTTTAAACACACATACGTATCTTTAAATGTGTTTACATCTATAGATTAGTGTTATATCTACCTATATACTAC